TTGATTCACTTGTAGATCCATTGTTCATTTAAATAGGGGAAAAAACATTTAAATTAAAATAGAAAATGTCAGAAAATTTTGAATTTCTTTTATTAGGTCGGGCTTCGGGCTCGGGCTCGGGCTTCGGGCTCGGGCTCGGGCTTCGGGCTTTTTATCAGGGCCGGGCTCGGGCCCAAGTTGTAGGCCCGTTGGTCGGGCCGGGCTCGGGCTCAGGCCTAACAATTTTCTGTTAATAAAGAGTCGAAGCCCGGCCCGAGCCCGGCCCGGCCCAGCCCATTAACAGGTCTAGTTTTCATAGCCCATTGTGCACACCTAGTTTGTAGATCTGAAGTCCACTCATTGTCTTTTACCTTTTCTATCAATAGTTTTCTTACTTGYCCTCTTTTTAGAATCCAAATCTTCCTAATATTCCATCTATTGCTGTTTCTACTCAGTTTTGATCTTTTTCTGTTACTTTAATTGGATAGGGGATCACCAATTAAGACTTTAGTTTTGCAGCTAATATGGATGGCTGTTAGCAATTGGGCAAAACTCCAATAYTTGGTCGGTTTTGCAGCTAATATGGACTATCAATTAGCATACAGATTACTTAAATCCTGAAGTCTTGCTTGAGATGATTTAATCATATAGCCAACAAACCCTACCCAATCATCAAATACAGCCCAAACAAAACGTCAAAACCAGAAGCTTATCCCAGGATAAGATAATTAAAACTGTTTCTTATAAAAGAATGGTTTCTTTCCATTCCAAGTACAGGCTTTTGGATGGTGTAGACTGGTTATCACAGGGAAATCTGTGTGGTGTCCATATCATCATTTCAGAATCAGAGTCAAATTAGGCATCCTGCACAGAATTTCTTTCTTTTTTTTATCGAGGAGTGAAAGAAATTTCATTAAACAAAAAAAAAAGGAATATTACAATCTGAGAGGTGACAAAGTGACACCTCAGGGGTGCTCAAGTCAACAAGGAGGGCAGTGAGGGTTCAGATTCTGGTACGAGCATGAAGGTGCAAAGTAATGAGTTTAAGGGTATTGCTTCAAGCAGTGTGACTCTCTAGCAGTTAGTAGACAGAGAGGTGATGATCAGAAAAAGTTTGGGTCTCTGTTTTTTGGGTGGTGAAGAATTTGCTAGGAGGGACTTTGAGGAGTTTGAAAGGAGAAAAAGGGAAGAGAAGTTAAAGAAAAAGCTCTGGTGAAAGGAGGCAAAGGTTGGGATGAGGAGTTTTCAGATCAGGAGGATGAAATTGTGGATGAAGATTGAGCCTCTCCACCAGGTTTTTTCCAAGGTTTTTAGCTCGAGTCTGGTTTAGTTTGAGTCTTTGGTATGTAAGTTGCGTGTTTGTTTTTTCAAGTGTTGTTAAAGGGGTCCGGTCGTTTGTTTGTTGGGTCATTTAGTTGTTCTCTCCTTTCGGATGATATCTTATCTTCTTCCTGCTGTATTTCTTTTTTCTTTTAATAAAATTTTCCTTTGACTCTTCAAAAAAAAAGGTGACACCTCAAGAAAGCAACTCAACTGAAGAATAATCTACTGAAAACTGTTCACAATTACAATCTTGGATTTCAAGAATATTCCAGAATTTCTGCAAAGCATACCTATATAATCTACCCAATATAAGTAGCCATGCTGGTTGAACTCTTTGCGTAAGGAGTGGAATATTAGCTTACCTTGAAATGGGGAATTGTTTTCTTCAAAAAGTCTGATCCTGGTTGAAAATCAGCATCAAATATTGCAACAAACTCATAATCTTTTACATAGTCACAGCTCATTGCAGATTTCAGGTTCCCTGCCTTATAGCCTGTTCGAATAAGTCGGTGTCTATATACGATCCTCACACCCTTCTGTTGCCACTTCTGAACTTCATTCTTGATGAGGAGCTGGACATCCAAATCATCAGAGTCATCAAGGACTTGTACAAGCATTCTGTTTCTTGGCCAATCTTGGATGCATGCTGCTGCAATTGATTGTTGATAAACCTGTGGCACCATAGTGAGACCAATCATCAATATTTAGAAGMCTTAAAATTAAAAGAAAATAAATAAATAAAAATAAACAAAAGAGTCATCATCATCATCTAAGCCTTGTCCCAACTATATGGCTTTGGCTACATGAATCCTGTTTTGCCATTCTGTTCTGTTCAGTGCCATATCCATTGTCAAAGTAGAAAGCTTGCTGAATTAAAAAATATGAAATAAAAGGAGTTTCTTGAAGAAAGAAGGAAGAGAGAAGGAGAAGAAGAGAAGAAGAGAAGAAGAGAAGTTGACAAGAAAGGAGAGCAATAATCTGGCCGCTCCCCTTCACTTATTATCTATACTAAAAATAATAGAGCAGTGCAAAGACAACTATGCCCTTATAGGGCGGCAAGACATAAAACAGCATATATAAGACACAAAAACATAATAAAATTTGGACTCACATAACAACTAACATAAAACATCTACTCATAAAAAGCATTATAAAACTGATTAATCTTCAACACTCCCCCTCAAGTTGGGCGTAAATGTCACACATTCCCAACTTGAGTAGACTATGTTCAAGCTTGTTCTTTGCCACCCCTTTAGTGAGAAAATCAGCCAACTGCAACTCTGAAGAGACATAAGGCAAACAAACTTTTCCGGTTGTTACCCTTTCTCTTATAAAGTGTCTATCAACTTCAATGTGTTTTGTCCTATCATGCTGAATTGGATTGTGGGCAATATTGATTGCAGTCAGATTGTCACAGTATAACATCATAGGTTCCTCTGCTTTC